GGACTCACCTGGCCCATCAGCAGGGGTCCAACCGTGTTGGTGGTGTAAACCTGGATCATATCCTCTGGTGTCTCATTATCAAGGGAGTTTGGCTTCACAATTCCAGCATTGTTGATGAGGAGGTTCAGCCCAGAGCCCCCCAAGTGCTCCCCAACCTTGGCTGCAGCTGCCTTGATGCTGGCAGGATTGGCAACTTCTGCAGGGCCAACACAGGGGAGCTCAGTGACCCTGTGGTGGTTTGGGGTCCCCTGTGTCCCCCAGAGGAGGTGCCCCGCCAAGGCTGCCTTCTCTTTGGAACTCCCAGGGCTGTGATGAGTGCCCAGGCATTCCCCAGAGGAACAGGGGCAGGAGGAAACCTACCAAGACCGATGATGACCAGGTTGGGATGTTTGGAGGCCAAATTCTGCAGCTCCTGCAGAGAGTTCACAATATTGGTACCAACAGACTGGAACAGCTTTGCCAAGGCTCACCCAGCAAAGTCAGCCAATGCCCATGTCCCTCCAGCTCTATCCCTGCACCACCGAGTGCCAGCACCCTGCTCCTGCTGCCCTGATCCTGATACAGGGGGAACATTCCACAGCTCCTGCACTCACCACGTATCCCTGTCCCCTCCACACATCCCATGCACAACTGCTCACGTAGCTGTACCAGCCCAGCTGCCCTGGGCCACAGGTGCCCAGCTGAAGCTCCTGCCCTTGCAAACACCATCCCTATTCCAATCTCCCCCTGACACCGAGTTCTCCCATCCCCCAGCACAGTCCCTGCCTCCCAGTCTGACCTTACCTGTGCTCTCTGTCCATTGGGGTCCCGACAGGTCGCAAAAATCCACTGAGGTGGGTTTGGCAACCTCAGGAAATGCTGGACGAGCCCCAGGCCAAGGCCCCGGTTGGCCCCAGTCACCAGAACGGAGCAGACACAAAGCTCTGCCATGCTGCTTGCCTCTTCACTCCAGCTGGCACTGTTTACTCAGCTCTCTAATATTTCCTTATAGCATGTCCCAAACCCACTTACTGACAGCTTGCACTGGAGCTGGCTTTTCTCTGGGAGGAGCAACTGCTCTAGCTCTTTTTGCTCCAGGACATATGTCCTGGCTGGGAACCAATCCTAGTTACCTAACACCAAAATTCACTTGGCTTTTCCAGGTAAATTATGCATTCTTCGGGCAACCTGCCATAAGACAGGTTGGGCTGTTGAGGGTGAAAAGGGAGGGAGCAACATGTGGGTTGATGTGGAAAGTTCCATGGCTCAGGTGGGTTTGACACGTTCACGAGCATCCTGTGGGCTTGATGTTCTTTGCACGTTGTACCAGGCTGTGCCTCAGGTGGCCCTGAGCAAACGTTCTCTGCCTTGTGCCTGCCTCTTCCAAGACAATAACCTCTCCCTCATTGTGGAGCAAAAGACCTGTGGAGTGGGAGAGCAAACGCAGCGTGGTCTCCTGGCAGAAGGGTGGGGAACGTGCATGGCTGGCACAGCACCATGCTGCAGGTCATGCGCCCCATCCCTTGGGATGCAGTCCTAAGCTGAGCTGTCCCTTTGTTCAGAGCCACAGAGGATTCAGGCACCTGGGACATTTACCTGCAAAGGAAATTCCCTGCTCAAAGCCTATTTTCCACCTCACCTGTTGCCACAAGGCACTGACTGTTCTGTGCTACTGCCAGTGGAGCCCAGTGCTGTTTGGCACCTCAAGTGATGCATGACAGGTTTGCAAGGCTGGATCAGGTGCATGTGTACATCATGTGCTCCTGCCCCACTGTAAGTGAAGACCCAACCCCAGAAACCTCTTGCAAACCCTTGTCCTCCTCCATTGAGTCCCAGAGCCATTTCACAGGCTGCCGGGCAGCAATAGAGGTGACACTGCCCCCACATGCCACCTTCTGTCCCAGGATATGTTGGCAGCAGCATTAACCAGAACAGCTTCCTCCCAGTGGCAATGCCAAGTGTGTCTCCATGCTCCGGCAGCAGCTGATTTCCTCCTGCCCACTCCAGCTGTTTTCTAGGGCTCAGCTGGCAGACACTGTGAGATAAGCAGGTCCTTTCCTGCTCTGACCTGGGACCACCTGCACAGGGTGCAAACCCGTTTGGGAAGGTGCACACTGGCAGCTTCCATGCTGAGACGATCCCATATCTTCTCTCTCAAGTCTGAGCCTCTCCCTTAAGTTTCACGTAATTAACTTTTTTTCCCACTCTGTTTCCTTGGTCAATTGGATCTCTGTCTACTTTTTGAATTTCCATATTGGGTTGAGAAACTTCTTTGCCCTTGTGAATTCCTACCACTAACCAGCAGTACAAAGCTTTGGGCCTTTCAGCTTCTGTCTCAGACTGATCTCTCACTGAGGATCTCCCGCATGGCTGGACTGGCATTCAGGCTTCACAGACAATTTCAGTATTTCCTTTTCAATTACCACAGATCTCAATTATACTTGCCAACAGACACACGAGAGCTCAAATCCTCCAAACAGACTTCCATGGTTTTCTTCCTCTAGGTGAACAATGAGGCCATCACCCACAGCCAGTTTGAAACCTCCACAGTGACTTAGAAGCAGATAGCATCAGAAAACAAATAATTAATATTTTCAATCTCCTATTTTTGCTGTGTCACCTCATTCGTGTAGCCTTCCACTGTTTTGGAGCTGTAACTTTATAATGTTGACTTTGCTCTGGGGCCACACACTGCATTATTGATTATTAGACTTTAAACAAGCACTGCTTCCCCAGGAGTCTAAGTCCAGCCTGGCATGAAGGGAAAGAAACCAGTCTCACTGCCTTGCAGCCTAGCCTCATCACAAGGGCTGCTGCTGTCCCCAAGCCTCTGGAAAGGATCTTGGTCCAGCTCCTAAGAGGGGATTCAGACACTTCCTTTGCTCTGAAATGTTCTTGCATGGTCTAAATCTTAAGCTGAGCATTAAAGTCCTTGGACTTATGGAATCATTTATGTTGGAAAAGGCCTCTAAGATAATTGATTTCAACAATTAGACTAACAATGCCATTTCCACCACTAAACACATCCCCAGATGCCACAACCATGAATTTTTGAAACACTTCTGGCATGGTGACTTCACCACTTTCCTGGGCAGTCTGTGTACCAGTGCTTGAAAGTCCTATCTGTGAAGAAATTTTTCCTAATATCCAATTGAAACCTCCCTTGACACAACCTGAGGTTGTTTCCTCTCATCCTGTAAATCGTTACTTGGGAACAGAGCCCGACCTCAGCTGGCTCCACCCTCATTGTCGAGGAGCTGTACAGTGATAAGGGTCTGGAGTCTCCTTTTTTCCAGGTTGAGCCCTCCCAGCTCCCCATCAGCTCCTCATCATCAGCTCCTCGTTAAACTTGTGCTTCAGACCTTCCCCAGCTCCATTGCTCTTTCCTGGACACACTCCAGCATCTCAATGTCTTTCTTGCTGTGAGTGGCCCAAAACTGAACACAGGATTCAAGGTGCAGCCTCACAAACACCAAGCTCAGGGGCACTGTAGCTCTTCTCCCACGACCCCCCAGGCTGATGCATTTTACCATGGATTGTTTTCACATCACCACACTGGGAAGACTCAGCCAGTTTTCCAAGATGCAGTCACACCTTTTCCACCCTCAGTTGCTGGAGGCTCAAGTGTGCTCTCAGTCACCGAGGTGATTGCACAATGACAGTGCTGCAGACAGAAACATGGAGGAACATGCTTTTCTCTGCCTGTCAGGGGAACAGGGGTGTGGTACAACTAGTTTTAGTACATTTAATCTACTATAAATAAGAAATAAGCTCGCTGCTATTTATCAGGCTGATTTTGTCCTTTTTTATTTGCTCCACAATGCATTCAGGTCTGTCATCACCTATTAGTCATTTTCTACAGAATCAATAGATAGTGGAAAGTGAGCCACCCATGGAGAGGTGGAGTGAGACCAACCTAGCACTGTAACTGAATCTGGGCAGTACTCACCCTTCCTGATTAATTTTCTTTTGGGCTGATCTGGTGGGGGTTGGAAACCCATGGCAGGACCATTGGAACAATGTAATGTGTAAAGTCTCTTCCAACAGAAACCATTCTGTGATTCCATGATATGATTCTATGAGTAGTGACACCCCTTTGTGAAAGGATGCAGGGACTGGGGGCGGGAGCCTGAGCTTACCTGCAGCTCCCAAGTGAAGTTCCCATGACACTTTTGTCTTAGCTCTGCTGTTTTCCAAGCAGGCTAATCCAGGTGACACCTGCATTGTATCAGAGCTGGAGAGGGATTTTGGACAAGGGCATAGAGTGACAGAACAAGGGGAATGGCTTCACACTGACAAGAAGGCATGGTTAGATTGGGTATTCTAGATTGGGAAGAAATTCTTCCCTGTGAGGGTAGGAAGGCCCTAGCAGAGATTACACAGAGAAACTGTGGCTGCCCCATCCCTGGAAGTGTTCAAGGCCAGGTTGGGGGACACTCTGAGCAACCTGATCTAGTGGAAAGTGTCCCTGCCCATGGCAGGGGTTGGAACAAGATGATCTTTAAGGTTCCATGCAACCCAAACCATTCTGTGATTCTGTGACTGAGGATTTAAAATGCTCACACTGTCCATACAACCTCCCTTGGGCCACCGTGTTTTGACCTTGTGCCAGCCTGGGGCCTCACACCAGGTTCAGAAACTTTCTGGGGATATTCCCCTTGTGATAGCAGCCAAGATGTCTCAGCTACCTGGTGCAGCAGGGCTGGCAGCACAGGGGCAGAACTGCTTTGCCAGGACCCATGGGGACAGCACAGATTCTCACTGACCTTCTTTTCTCCAATCCTCAAAGGGCAGGTGGCTGGGTTATCCTTCATGCTCCAGCATAGTGTCATGAAGAGGGACCTCAGAACCACCAAGCAAGACAAAATTTCTTTCCCACTATTAGATTTGCTAACAGGGACAGCTGAGAATGGGCTGCCACACATGGCAGATATGCTCCATCTCAGGAACACTGAGGCACAGGCTAAATGATCAGCTTGTGACTGCCTTGGTTTGACACCCAAATATTGAAGCGAGAAAAGGAGGCACATTAAAGTTTAGGAATAGATAATGATAATGTAGATGTTAATTTAGGAATCCAGTTGAAAAGAATCATTAAGTCTTATTAAGGAAAGACATTTAAGCAGGAAAGAGTTAGTATAATCTTTAAATTAAAAAGTGTTTAAAGGACTATGGAAAATTTACTCCTTGTAAAGAAGTTAAAAGCTAAGCACCATGTTACTCCAAAAATGCCATGCCAGCCTAAATGATGTGACCCATTGCCCACACAGGTGAGCAGAAAAAATGCAGTCTGTGAACAGCAAAACATAGTATTATTCTGTGGACACTGTTAGAGTAAAATGGGCTGCATTGGTATTTTATCAGTAGAAATTAAAACTTAACATAGTTGTTCATTATGGTTTCAAACCATATTTGTAAAAATAAGGGGGAAAACAACCCACTTACCATTTTTTATTTAATTAAGATGTTTCCTCCTCTTCTCTAGCTGCATTGTTTTTTAAATCCAGTAACTTAAAGCAGCACTTACAATGAACCCATCAGCTCAGTACAAAGGACATGTGCCCACATGCATTTTGTTGTTTACAGTGCAGAAACTTCAACCAAATTACAGCATCAATGAGCTGATAACAGGAATTACCAGATTTGATTTTTAGCTAAGTGAACTCAAATACTTCCTTGTATTCTTAGGGAGATCTAGTGGAAAATGTCCCTGTCCATGGCAGAGGGGATGGAACTAGGTGATCTTTAAGGTTCCATTCAACCCAAAACATTCTAAGATTCTATGACTTATACCCTTAAATGCTCCAAAATTCACCAATGTCAGACTCGTGCTTTACCAAGCAGCACGAGTTTTCCCAATGCCTGTTGTAGTGAAACTAGGGCACCTGGATAAGCCTTGGGGCTTTTTTATTCTATTATCATTTCTTGGTATTCTTTTTGGTTGCATTTCCCATTATTATCTGCTGGA